CCTGTCCGGTCAGCAAGTCACGTCGGGGTGGCGGTTATCAGAATAGACATACAAGAATCAGACCTGTCGCCCACTGTCCCATTGCAGTCAGTATACTTGTGCACTCAGTAATTATCCGCAGGAGAAGGGCTTACCTTGGTAGATGACAAGGGAGGGCTTGAAGCGCGGGTTCGTCTTCTGGGTCTCCTTGATTTCGCCGTTGAGGCGTTCTCTGATGGCTTTTGCGATGGCAGTGCCGTCTATCTTGGAGGCTCCCATGGCTGCGGCGGTGGTCGACTGTCGGGTGAAGGGTGCTTGGTCTGGCGATGGCGGTGCGGAAGACGAGAGCGAGGGCGGAGGAGCGAGAGGAAGAGGAAGCGGGAGTGACGAGGCCGCGCGGGGAGACGAGCTGAAGTAGTTGGAGAGGGCGAGGACGGGCGGGGCCGGCGACAGGGAGGCAGCGGCGGCAGCAGCAGTCAGGCGCAGGAGAGGCCGCCGGCACAGCAGCGAAGAAGCGGGCGGGAGGACTGGACGAGGCATGCCGCTGCTGGCATCTTTTAGGCTCTTCGTCGTCGTCAGCGCTGGGTTATTCTCTTCGGTCGGCTCTTCTGGGCTTCATGATGGCGCGCCTCTTTGTCTCGCCGTCGTTGAGGTGAAAATTCTGACTGATAAGATAAAGCCTGCCCCTGAGGCTCAAACTACGGGTAGATGTAGATTAGATAGCGTGTTACTCGGTGCACAGATCAAGATGCTGAGATTAGATGATGCACTGTCTACTTCGGCTTGCAAGAGTGCACAGTCCTTGACGGCGCTGCACCTGGTGGCAGCCACGCTGATTGACCGACAGGCTGCATGCATCTCAGAAGGTAGTTAACGCCCTACAGCTAAGTTAGCTCCTCAACCACCACCAGCTGCGTGGGCTTATCATACAATAAAGACACATTTATCAAGGTAGCCGGGCCTTATCACCAGCTAGAAGTCATGTTTTATGGAAATGCAATCAGTTACTGCTTCGGCAAGCCAATGATCGTCTCTGGCTCCTCCACATCTCCCGCAGCAACCGAGCTGTCCACGTCTGCTATCACCACGCTAGGGAAAGGCCCCTTCAATATTACTGCTATTATATACCATCCTTTCTTCTTTTACCCCTGTATATCTGTCGGGTATCGGTTATATCCACATCAACATCATTCGTTACAGGACTAAGACCAGAAAAGACGAAAAATGAAAGCTTTGACTTTGGCCTGAGAGTGATGACTATCACCTTGACAGTTATTGCAGTCGCAGAATTCTTGGCTCGCGTATACCCAACGGAATTAGACCAACGCAATGTACCTGTATTATACTTGAGTGCGCACCTCTATACAGCAATATCTAGCCTCTTTGACAGCCCCGAGCCTAATTGTGGAGACACAGCGTGGTCATAACCTAAGCTGACCTACCCTTTCCATGGTAGCACAATGCAATGGTACAGAGCTACGGGCCTTCAAGATTACAGAAACTACCTTCAGTTACTTGATTGACTTAATTACTACTCATATGGGAGTATACCGCGAAGTAGAAGTGATCAATTTTCTTGGAGGCTTCATCGAGGAGGAATTAAGTCATACTGAATGTTCCTGAGGCTTTATCAACAACTACAAGGAATGTATACAGAACTCAGACATTTCTCATTTCCCTCTTTCTATTTCTAGTTGTCCGCCCAGGCTGGCTAGTTTATTCTGTGGGCCTGCTCTATGAAAAGCAACCAGGCAAGCCTTGTATATCTAGATCCTGGAATCAGTACAATAAGCCACACAATATCTAGCGGAAAAGGTATACAGAATGGTAGTTGCGTTACTACCTAAAGTAATGTATAGGTCTTTTCTAAATACCTCATTATTTCCAAGTGTTGAAACCTGTCAGATACAAACTACATCTTCCTATCTTGCTGATCTGTATGACGTGTTATGTCTCTCCTAGAAATTAAGTAGCTCACATTTCTCAGACATCATTTGATTGATTAAGACTATTCTCCTCGTTTCTCCTCCTGCTTTCCCTATCCTCATTCTGCGAGAACCATCATGACAAACTTGAATTATTGGCCCCCTTATCCACCTTAACAATAACCGAGGGTTGGCATCATACTTATATTTAGATTAGCGCTAGTAAGGTTTTATAATGATCTATTATTAGAATATCTTCGCTTAACCGCTATGTTAAGCCAGTTAAACTCGGCATTTAGGCCAATTTGAAATTTTAAGTTTATTGAACCCATATTTTAAGGTTTACGGGGCGGTCCGCATCCAGTTAAAGTTTTTAGGTGCGACAACTATCTGCAATTAGTCATCTTACGCGTCTAGAGAGTTTTTATCGGTACAGAGTTTTAAATAACACTCATACGCAGCACTCCGTAATATTGAATTCGTTAAATAAAGTTCATGGGTAACTGCTAGATAAGGACTTTAAAGGTACTGCCTGGATGTTATGTCACTGGAAACGGTAATGCTTATCATCCGGCCCCGTGGAACTTGAATATTAATTGATATTCATACCAAAAACTTGACATTGCTCTGTTTAATTTCTTCTTGAAATGAAGTAACTTCAAGTAAGTGAAGTATAATCGGCAGACAGGAGCCTAATTGAGCGAGACAATCAAGGTAGTTATCAAGCTGAGGAGCCTCTTAGCTGCTTCCGATATGCATCAATATGTTATATACTATTAGTCCGGAACCAGTGCTAAATTTATATCTCTTTGCGCGAGGTAGTACAACACCTCATTAATTGGTAATATATCTTCGTACATCTCGCAACCTTACCGAAGCTAGTTACTAGCATACAGCCGACGTTTTGAAGTCACTTGTATACTACCTTGTGAATCGGTAATAGCAACAGGCCCATTCATCTCCAGAATTAGAACGCTACAATACCAGGGAGATAGGGCTTATGAAACGTGGGGAAGGCCGGGAGCTTCTTGTAATGTTTGGTATTGGCACCTGTGTGGTATGGGATGCTTTTACCCACGAGTATTTATTAGCGGAGATGCGGGGATAAATTCAAGGGAAATGGAAACAAAAAGATGTCTATTACCCCTCTCGCTGTTCCTCCATGGTCCGTATTCCTTGTAATTTTTTTTATACGTATACATATATATATATATATATATATCTCCAAGGGGACCTTTCAACTAGAGACGCTCCCCTCCCCTCTTGCTGGCGTTTTTTTTTTTTTTTTTTTTGGAGGGTATGGGGCAAAGTACTCTAAGACAAGTTCATACTGCAGAGTCACCTGTGAATGATGACCTGGAATTCGGTTGTCGACGATGACTTGGTCTAGTAGTCGATAGAAATATCGGTTAAGCGACACTCGCGCCGTACAAATGAAGGACCCTTTCGCAGAATCCCCGTCTCCTGTCTGTCTCACAGCCAAAATATTCGCCTTTTCTCTCCTGCTTGCCGTTTCGTCTTTTCAAAACCGCACCTGAATTATGCTGTGCACGGACCAGTTTAGAGGAATAACAAAAGTCCGTATTAGTCAGCCATGATGTAAAAGTTCTGTGTGGGCGAACAAAAATATCAAGAGTCAGAAAAGTCGCAGGCGAAGACGAAGCGCAAGTCGAAATTTAACAAGGTCAGAACCATACACGGAGCCACGAAGACGGATTAGCTGTATACATATCTACGGTCGTATTAAATACTTCACACAGAATGAGACCAATCCTCCTCCAGGGTCATGTTCGTGTCCCTTTTATCTCGTCCACTTCTCTTAGCGTCACCCCCCCACGCAAATTCAAGATTCGCAGTGGCAGCTAACCCAGCGCCTCTAGGAACGATCCTTGACCCAGATCAAATTCTCACGGGACGGCGATCTTCTTTTCTCGGTAGCCAAGGATAAGAACATTTGTGTCTGGTATTATGCGAACGGCGAGCGACTAGGCACCTACTCTGGCCATCAGGGTGCGCTATGGACCATTGACCCAAGCCCCAACACCGTACTGCTCGCCTCGGGAGCGGCAGATAACACCGTCAAGCTATGGAACATCAAGACCGGCGAGTGCGTTAAGACATGGGACTTCCCTACGGCCGTGAAGCGGGTCGAGTTCTCTGCCGATGGATCGAAGCTGTTGGCGGTTACAGAGAAGCGAATGGGCTACCTGGGCACCATCGTTGTTTTCGATATTGCATATGGAGACGGCGAGGGGAACAACCTGCACGAGCAGGCCGACGAACCCATCTTGAAAATCACTTGCGAGGAGAGCAAGGCCACCGTTGCTGGCTGGAGTTACCTGGCGAAATACATTATTGCTGGACACGAGGACGGAAGCATCAGTCAGTACGACGCAAAGGTAAAAATCACTCACTCGATTAGTATTATAATTTTGAGACTTACAAGTATCTAACGGGGTGTACAGACCGGCGACCAGCTAGAAAACGTCCAGGCACACGAGCTCGACTGCAAGATCACTGATCTTCAGTTCTCCGCTGACAGGACATACTTCATCACCGCCTGCTCTGACAAATCGGCCAAGGTGCGTCTCACTTTTTTTTTTTTTATTTCGCTCTACAGTTACCGTATTTGCCGTCATACTAACCTGCGTAGATCCTCTCATCAAGCACCCTCGAAATCCTCAAGACCTACACTGCCGATACCCCTCTCAACACAGCAGCCATAACGGCAAAGAAGGACTTCGTCGTGCTCGGTGGTGGCCAGGCTGCCATGGACGTGACTACCACCTCCGCCAGACAAGGAAAGTTCGAGGCCCGATTCTACCACAAAATATTCGAGGACGAGATCGGCCGTGTCAGGGGCCACTTCGGTCCCCTGAACACGATCGCCGTCCACCCTGCCGGCGTTGGCTATGCGTCTGGCGGAGAAGACGGATACGTACGTGTTCATCATTTTGACAAGTCCTATTTCGATTTTATGTATGAAGTTGAGAGGGAGCAGTTGAGGAAGTGATTTTTATTTTCTATCTGTGTTTTTTATCTTCTCCCCTTTGCCCCCTTTCGCTCAAAGTTTTTGTTATTTGGTTGGGTTGTTTAATGCCTCTTGATGATAATTATATTCTCTTTTTTCCCCCCTTCTTCTTTCTTCCCTCTCTATGTTTCTCTCTTTTTTCTTTGATCTCGTTCCAAAATCCTGCAGCTGCATTGCATGAGTTCATCTTTACCACGGTGTTGTGTTCATTATCCCTGTTTTATCTTGACAAAACAAAAAGCGAGAAGCAGAGAGAAGAAAGAAACGGAAGAAAAAGAGAAGGAGTAGGCGGTTCTAGAAGGGATGAAGGGATGGTCTCCTGGTCTCCTGGTATGCTGAATGCCGTGTCCTTTGCTCCTTTTTCTGCTGTTTTGTGCCTTGTTGGAAGGTGGTTCTGGTACTTACTTACGAGACTTGAGGGGCCCTTGCAGGCTGGCGAGCTGGATAGAGAAATGCAAAGAGCAAATGATTCATGACCAGACATAAAAGGACTGCAAGTATCCATCCCTATCCTTAAATCTCAACTCTTCTTCTCTTCTCATCCTTTTTTTTCTCCCGATCGTCATCGTCTCTTTCTCCGATACCACTGATACCCAACCCGCCGTCTCGAAACCGCCAGCTCCAACGTCCAAGTGACGTCACGACAAGGGACAGGCTGCTGCTGTTATATTTATTATTATTTATTATTATTATTTCTTTTTATTTATTTATTTATTTATTCCTGCCTACTCTGCAACTCCAGGCGTCCAGCGACATCTCGTATCTCGGACATGGAGGGCCAAATTACTCACTCCCCCACGGCTGGCCCCGAGAACAGGGAAGATGGCTGGGAGAACAGCGACCAGTCTTCGCCTCGCCATGGACGGCGACTATCCCACTTCTCCATCCACCGAGGAAACTCCCTGATTCTGCTCTGCGACTGCTAGCAGGCCTCCTTCGCCAGCCACAACTCTCTGCCCATGGCGATCCGTGACGGCATCATGCTCTAGCGTTCTGCTCGGAGGCGCGCGATCTTCCAGGGAAGGCCGAAGGAGGCTGTGACGGGAAGCTTGCTGCCCAACAGCCCTCTGCTCGAGTGCTGTGCTCCGTACACTCCTTCCACTCTATTAACCCGTATATACGGAGTATATATATCATCTTTATATCCAAATATGGCCTGGATGGAATGAACTCTTGCTCTCGAAATCACCGGAGACAAACCACACTGACTGGCCTTTCGGTTTTTTTTCTTTTCTTTTCTTTTCTTTTCCTTTCGAGAAACGGGCTATATGTCCTCGCTGCTAATGAGTCTGCTCCTAGAGTTTTCCTTCTTCCCTGTTAGCGCCTAAAGTCACAGTCGCTACGAACCCGCAGGCAGTCACTTGGCCCATGTCCATTCCCGTGCTCTGCCATGCAACTCTGGTCCAGGGGCGAAGGGGGGGGGGAGCGAGGGAGGGACAGAAACACAGTCATTTTATTTTCTCGCGCCGGGCTGAGAGCAGCAGCAGCAGCAGCAGCAAAGAAGAAGGGCAGGAAGAAAAAGAAAAAAAAAAAACAAGAAGAAGCAAAGAGAGGAAGATAAAAAAGCCCCCATTGTGGTTGAATAATAAATAGCAATCGCAGATTTCGCCGTTGCTGATCGGGACTGTCCTGTCGCTGCCAACTCTTATTTCTCGACTCTTGTGCGCTCGTCTTTCCGTTGCTTCTTCGTCTCCTGCGGACAGCTGGGAGTATAAAGGGACCGGCTGCCTGCTGTCCTGTCATCAGTCCGTTTGTCCTGTCCTCTCGAGCCTGTTTCTTTATATAAATCGCCGGCCTCTTCTCTCAAGCAGGAGAAGGGAGAAAAAAAAATAATAATAACAAGCAGAAGAAGAAATCTATCGAGCTTCACTGTCGACATGGCTTCTTCGTCTCTGTCGCTTCTCGTATTCTCTACCCGCTTCTCCCACAGGCTGCTCTGACTGTGACTTCTGCCCGCCTGACTTGATATATATCATCGCCACTCCCTCTGCATCCCACAAGCCCACCTGATTCTTGCTCCTCCTTCGTCAGCCGGCTGCTCCGAGCACTCCTCTTGACTCATATCCCTTTTTACGGGCGTCTTCTCTCTCTCGCACCGCCTTAGCTGTCTGTCCCTTTACCGGCTGTCGACCTCGCCTTTTTTCTTTACCTCGTTATTTCAGCCCTATTTCTACACAAAGAGCGAGGGATAAAGAAAAACCGCAGCCATGGTTCCGCTGGCCCGTGAGGCGCCCTTGGCAATAAAGCCGCCCGCCGCCTCCGCCGCCGCCAAGAGCCTCCTCGCTTCCGCCCCGTCGCCTGGCTCTAACCTGACGCCGCCCCTGACGCCCGTCGAGGAGGACGATGGCGCTCGAATCATACCCGTGCTCGATGGCGCCCACTCCACGGTTCCTCCATTGTGGGCAGCGCAGCTCGACGGGCCAAGCGAGTGCTCCCTGCCGCTCAAGTATCGCTACGGCCAGGACGGTAGTCGAATAGAGTACGGCAGAGGCGCCTGGAGCAACGTCTACAGCGCCATCAGCATCGACCACGCTGCTTCTCTGGCTAAGTCGCCACCCCAGACCCCCACTCGCGGCTCTTTGGCCTCGTCTCCTATGCTGGGGCCACGGAACGGCCATACCAGCAGCAGGAGCAGCAGTAGCAGCGGGAACACCCATACCACTGTGTACGCTGTTAAAGTGGCCTCCGGACGTTTAGCACATGATGCAGTCGCCGCCGAAGCAGATATCCTTACTTTTCTCCACCGAATTCCAGGCAGTACAGCTCATGTCGTGCCATTTCACGGCTACATTGCTTCTGAACATGCCATCGTCATGACTGCCATTCCGCTCTCCTTTGCCTCATACATCAAAACCAGAGCAAAAGATGCGGCTGCTGTATTCAACACGAGAACCATGTTTAAGCCTGTCCTGGGGATGGCAACCTGGCTCTCTTTTGCCGACAAGTTAGTTGAGGGGCTTCGGTGGATGCATGAAGCAGGCGTGGTCCACGGCGATATCAAGCCCCAGAACATCCTCCTTCGTCCACGGGTTCCCAGCATCAGCATCAGCAGTAGCAGCAGCAGCAGCGGAGGCCCTACTGCTACGGCATTAAACAGTTCTGGGACCATCGATGACACTGCAGCAAATTCATTCGATCTGCTCTTCATCGACTTTACTTCTTCTCTCTACTCTCATGGCAGCGGTGTGGCGCTGAACTCGACCGCTAGCTCTCGGCTAGCCACCAGTCTTCCGTTCACAGCCCCTGAACTCCTATCGATCAGCTCCATGACCTTACCACCAACTCCAGCACCTTCGTCTGATATATTCGCCTTGGCTCTCACCTTGGTCGCTGCTGCAATCGGCTATGGAGAGGTATACCCGGGACTTGAAAGACATAGAGCTCTCGCTCTTGCAAGAGATGGCCACCGTGTGATTGACTATGTCCGCGCAGGAGAGCAGGGAACTAGAATCCCACGCAAGGGGGTCGTGGAGAGGGTTATATCTCCTGCTGTTCTAAAGGATGCAGGTAGCAGAGTGGCTACAGAACACTGGTTGGGCATTATCAGGGGCGAGATTGCAGCTCTTGCATAAATAATGGATTGAATGTTTGTCTATAAATATAGACTTTCCTACGTCCCCTCCCGTCAATCTTCCTCTTGCTTTGACTGTATGTTATGTGATGTTTTATGATTGATTGTACTTTTACCCCCTACCAGCATCTGGAGCATGATAAGACTGGCGTTTGTTTAACTAACCTGCATCCCTTTTTTCCTCTTCTTTCCATTTCTCTCTTTCTTCGTCCTCTTCTTCGTTGTATTTTTTTTTTTTAACTTTGTATCGCTAGAACTAGGCTCTTTAATCTAGTCAGCTAACTATAGCATTAGAGCAGGATCAATTTTGCTTCGTCATTATATAATCCTTCTCAGTTTGAGCCTGCTGTTTGCGCTTCTAGCCTTCCAAGTAGCTCCGTTGCAACTTCTATATCAAATATCAAATGTTAGTAAACATGGATAGATAAAGGAGATAAAATGAATTTTTTTTTGTCTTCTCTCCCTTTCTCTGCTTCTATCCATACACTCGCTGTTCTAACTATATATACATTCGTTTACTGTAACCCCGTTAACTCTATCAACTGCGCCCTGCCTATGATAGCCTTCGCTTGGTTTGTCCTTTGGTCTGTTATTACAATATCATACTCTATTATTAAAAGAAACAGATATAGAGACTGCCAGGTGTGTAGGTTATAAGTTATGGCCTACCTGCTGTCTAATGTCATCCCCTTTCTTCGAATAGCCTGGCCTCCCAGCCGCAGAACACCACAAAGAAACAGGGCTACTCATATGCATCCCAATGCCACACCGGGCATGGCAGACTTGGAAGAGGAGCCATCATCCGAAGAAGATTATATTTACGATATCAACAGCCAACTAGCATCGGAAACCCAAGAGAACAAGGATACATCCACGGGACGGATTCCGGGTGTAGCAACGCTCCTCAATGATGTGACTATCGGACCTCCATCTAGTCAAACAGTCAACCGAGCTACACCGAACTTCTATATCACTAGGCCAAACGGCGCGAAGGTTCCTCTGATACCCTTGGACGAGCTACCCGAGGGCCTTAAGCTCGGAGACCAAGGCTGGTATCAAAGCTGCTGGATACGGTACATGCATCCCGTATCTGGTGGCAGATACCCAAGTTCAGGAACTTTTGTAGCAACCATCAAAGGTGGCACACAGCTCAGTCGCAAGTGGTATACTGTTAGAACACCAAGTGGCAGAGTGGATATCTTGAAGAAGCCGAAAGTCATCCCACCGCTGCTTGATTGTTGTGTGTGTGAAAATACCAGGAGCAGTGAAAACGATGTCGATGTTCAAGCTCAGGACAACAGGCCAAATTCGACCCAATCACCTTTGCTGCCACAGAGAGCGGGAGAGCAAATAGGACAACGATACGGGACATTCGCTCCACCTAACTCCTTGAACGTGAACCTACTTGATTCTTCAAGCTCAAGTTCAGAAGAACAAACGGATGGGGCCGGTCTCCCAAGGGATCAGCATTGGCTAACTCGTGAAAGATCCGAAACGCCGCCGGGTGAAAGGCAGTTAAGTATGGGTGTTCTATGGGAAGTCGAGAGCATAGACGACGACGACGACGACCCTCCCAACGATGAACCCGAAATGCCGGGTGATAGAAGTGATAGCCAGTCTTGCGACAATAAGCCCGACAGGCCGGATGATACAGATGATAGGCAGCAAGGCGGTCCCTCAAATCCCATAAGATTCGTGAATTATACTCTGGCCCAGTTGAATAAAAATGAGAGTCTGCGGATGACTCGCATCCACGACCCC